GCGGCAGGAGGAATAACTGCAGTCCATCCATAAAACGGAGTATGGTGCAGCCACTGCAGACCTTGCTTCAGGAGAAAAGCATGTGAGGACGCCCCATGCCACTCTTAACTGGAAAAGTAGATCGCAAAGCAGCCCACACCGTGTGATAGGAAGGCAGAGGGGGGCAGGGGAGGAAGGAGCGAAACCGAGAGAGCAAAGGAGAGAGATCCCTTGCACGTGTATGTGTAAAAGAACATACTAAAACATGAACAGAGGCCAGCTCTGGAAGATTGGATTGCTGATGGTTTAATTTTCTTCTTTATAGCTCCCCGTATTCCCTTGATTTCCTACAAGGATCTGTATTACTTTCATAATCCAAATGGCCATAGATGAGCCTTTAAAACAGAAGAATGAGGCATGATGTTGGTCCTCCAGGGGTTTGTGATCTACTGGGGGAGACAAACATATGAGCAAGTGGCAGAACAAATGGGAGGCTTTTCGTGGCCGCCTCTGTAGAATGGACTTGGTCCTGAGCTTGCAAACTCCTTCCCTTCCTGTGCCCGTCGCTGCCGGCCATCCCGGCCCCATTCTCTGCATCTTGCTGGGCCTCCTTCTAGGACTCTCCTTCCTCCTGCACTACCTTGCAAGGCCCCGAGGTTTCTCTGGCTCTCCAGAGCCTGGCACTAAGCCTCGTTTGTTGTTCTGCTAGTTGCTCTTGGAATTAACGGGTCATCTCCTTCCATCCCTCAATGCCCCACATCTCTGCAGCTACGATGTGGATTGCCTCATTGAAGAAGCAGCCAAAATGGAGAAGATCAGGATGAGACTTTATCCACAGCCCCTCTGGATAACAGCAACACCTTCTAAGTACTTACTATGTGCCAGGAGCAGTTCTAGATGTTTTTTGCATATTTGCCCATTTCATGCTCAGAAAAGCACTATGAGCTAAGTGTTCATATTATTTCCAGTTTATAGATGAGGAAGTTGAGGGTCTGAGGAGTTCAGTAACATGTCTGAGGTCATGCAGGTCGCATGTGGCAGAGATGGGAGAGGCCCGGGCTCTTAACCACTACACTGTCCCAGAAAAGGTAGGCTGCAGGACTCTGAGGGATCAAGGCAGTTTTCTGGAGACAAGACTATTGCTCCCTTATCCTGGCCTGTGGCTTCCTCCCAGATTTCAGATTTCGGCCCGTCCAAGTGGATGGAACAGTCAACCCGGATGCAGTACATTGACAGGTCAGCTCTGCGGGGCCCCCTCAGCTACATCCCCCCTGAGATGTTCTTGGAAAGTAACAAGGCCCCAGGGCCCAAGTACGACATGTACAGGTGAGAGGTGGCTGGGCTCCGTGCCACATTCCCGGGAGTGGGGGGGATGCTGCTTATCACCACCCTGCCTGACCCCCTGAGGCCCAAGGGCACGCCAGGACAGGGAGGGGGAAGGATGGAGGGGCACTCTGGCTGGAGAGGCTCTGCCTGGGAGGGTGTGGTCCGTGGGGCCTCCCGGGTGGGGTGACGATGGGTATCCGAGAAAGTGACTCAGGGAGCACTTTGTCCCGTCTGCAGCTTCGGCATCGTCATCTGGGAGCTCCTCACTCAGAAGAAACCGTATTCAGGTAGCAGATGGTGGTGGCAGCCTCGGGTGGGGTCCTGGAAGGCCCTGTGAGAGGCTGAGGGCTTGCAGGGACAGGATAAGTGGCGGCTTTGGGTTGGGGAGCAGCATACGCTTTAAGGATTCCCGTCCCCACCCTCCTTCCTCCCTCCCCTGCTGGAATCTCAGCCTGTAACCTAGCCATTTATTCACCATGCATTCATGTGGCCCCTGCTGTGTGCACCCCTGTGGGGATCCTCAGAGCCGCCCACCACCCTGCCCAGCCCACTGCTCTGGCCCTGCCTCCCAGCATGCACACAGTCTGGACCTCCCCTCACAGGCTTCAACATGGTGACTATTGTTGCCCGAGTGGCCGCAGGCATGCGGCCCTCCCCGCAGCCTGTCTCGGACGAGTGGTGTGGCGAGGCAAGGCCCAGCAGATGGTGAACCTGATGAGGCGCTGTTGGGATCAGGACCCCAAGAAGAGGCCCTGCTTTCCAGGTTCTTGTCAGGCCTGCCCTGCCCAAGGGCCTGGGGAGCTGGGCGGGGCTGGAGCGTGTGGGAGCCTGGGCCGAGGTTCCAGGGGGCAGAGGAGGAGGTGGCTGGGGCCTGGGCCACTCCTGAGCGCTCCATGTGGTGCTAGGGCAGGGTCTGCGTGCGTCAGAGTGCTGGAGGAGGGCAGCGGGGGAGGGGGCAGTGAGGACTGAGGCTCCTCTCTGCATCCCCATGGGAGGCCAAGCCGAAAACCCATACTGAAGGGTTGGGGCCTGGCTCTCCTGCTTCTGAGTTCGCCGGTTCCGTCCGGGGCCACAGCAGCCTCATTTGTAACATGTTCCCAGACTGTGAGATCACAGGCATGGATGGACCCCTTTAGCCACTGTGGAAACGCACACATGTGTAACTGTGAGCACTCAGAGATCACCCATCTAGTCCTGCCCCCTCATTTATGGAAAAGGACTGACCATCAGAGGACCAGGGACCTGCTGAATGTGGGCCCACTGAGCCACGGCCGGCCGGGATCCAGCTTTCCTCCCTCCTGACGCACATGTATGGATATATCTGAGTCCGGGAATGGATTTTGGGGTGTGGGGGACACGGGGAATGTTCGGGTATCTAAAATGGGGAACGGACTGCTGGCCAGCCTGTTGCTTCTCTTTTTGTCTCTCTCCTTCATGGAGCAGACGTCACAGTCGAGACAGACATGCTGCTATCCCTGCTCAGAGTCCCGTGGCAGACCCAGACAGTGAGGCTCTGGCCGGGAAGGTGTCCTGCAAGCTGTCTCTGCACCGGCCTCGGGAGGTGAGTGCTGGGGAGGGGGGGTGCCTCCGATAAGTCCCTGGGTAGGGGGGGAATGCATGCATGATGCATGGGCGTGTCCTTCGCAAGGCCCCCCCACTGGCTGAGGGAGCAGATGGGGACTGAGAGCCAGCCCAGCCCACACTGCTGGCCACACCAGGCATCCTACTTGGGGACAGCCGTTCCTAATTTGCACAGCGGTGGCTGTGGCTCAGAGCCCCTGAGAAGGACACGCCGTCTCTCTCGAGTGTGGGGGATTAATCAGAGTCCTGCCTGCAGGCATCAGTGTCCTCACCCCCTAACATGGGAACCAGCCGTGGGCTAGCAGGGGGCTCCTGGCCGAACCACAGGGCCAGCCACCCTGCCCTCCACGTGGTCCGAGGGGCAGTTAAGGCCCTAGACCACCTCTTTCCAGCAGGGTCTCCCCTGCTCAGGACTTTCCTGCAGACACAGCGGGTGGTCCGAATGGCATGGGAGGGGCTTCCTAGGACAGGTGCCGGAGAGAGGGGAGGAGTGGAGAACGGTACAGACCAGAACTGCCCCGCTGGTCTAATCTGCCCCCTTGTCTTCTGATTCCCTCTGCCCAGGTCAGCGACAAGGTCAGCCAAGAGCTCTTGGCTGAGTCCACAGAGCCACAGCTAGAACCAGGGAATTCACAGGGAGGAGAAAGTGGAATCCAACCACACCCTTTCCCCCTCGCCCCTGCCCCCTCACCCCCCCACCCCAACCCTCTGCCCAGTTTGTCCCAAATCAGGAGTTAGTGGGTCCCTTTCCTGACACTGGCCCCAGGTTCCAGAAATGCACATGCCCTCGGGGGAGAGGCTCTGTTTCCCCCTTCAGGCTTGTGTTCTTAGTAGGCCAGACTCCTCCTTTCCTGGCTCAGGGGTGGGGCTGGGCTGGGGGGGGTGTGGAGCGTTGGCTTGCAAGCCTGGCTGCGTTTTGACCTGGGGGATGAAAGCTGCCGTGATGCCTAGGCCACCTAGACGATTAAATCAGAATCTGGGGGGGCGGCGGAGGGGGAGGTGGGGAGGCGGGGAGGGTTGGCCTGGGCAGGGATTTTTGTTGTTGCAGTTTGTTTTGGAAATTGTTGCTTTTAGTCAGGATATACTCTGGGTAGAACAGGAGGAAGCCTTAGTGGCTGAAGTTCAGATCATGGAGCCTGTATTCGGCTGGCATTGACTTCCTTTGTGGCAAGCACTCCCCTGAATGCGCTTGCCTACCTAAACTGTCCTCGCAACAGTAGATGAAGTGGGCATTGTTTGTGGCCCCTTTATGGATCAGGATCTGGAGGCTCAAGGAGGGCAGGGAATTGGTGAAGGTCCAGCAGTGCGAAGGGTGCAGTCAGGGTTTACTCCCAGGCCTCTTTCTGCCCCATCCTCACAGGAGTGGCTGCCGGAGTCCTTTCTCCGGGACAAGGGAGGCTGTGCAGAGATCTCTGATAGCAGGAAAGACTGCCCTCCCTCCCAGAGTCTCCGTTCCTGGATGGCACTTCAGGAGGCAGGGGGCCGGACGAGATGACCTGTGGACAGGTCAGAGGTCCTTTTTCCAACCCCATCTCCCTCCCAGCAGACTCGGGGGACTACTTGAAGGGGGTCCTGCAGCTCTTGGACAGCGAGACCCCAGTCCCGAGCCACAAGGAGCTGCGCATCTATGAGAACCAAGTCACGCCCCTCCACTTCCTGGTGGTGCAGGGCAGCGTGGAGCCGGTGAGGCTGCTGCTGGCCCTCGAGGTCGATGTGGCCTGCCAGACCGCCTGCGGCTACACGCTGCCCCTCATCGCCGCCCAGGACCAGCAGCCTGACCTCTGCGCCCTGCTCCTGGGGCACGGGGCGGACACCAACCTGGCAGACGAGGACGGCTGGGCCCCGCTGCACTTCGCAGCCCAGAACGGGGATGACCTCCCCGCCCGCCTGCTCCTGGAGCACGGGGCCCACGCGGATGCCCGGGAGCACGAGGGGTGGACCCTGCTCCACCTGGCTGCACAGAACAACTTTGAGAATGTGGTATGGCTTCTGGTCTCCCGCCAAGCTGACCCCAACCTGCATGAGGCCGACGGCAAGACCCCTCTGCACGTGGCTACCTACTTTGGCCACGTCAGCCTGGTCAAGCTGCTGACGGGCCAGGGGGCTGAGTTGGATGCTCAGCAGAGAAACCTGAGGATGCCTCTGCACCTGGTGGTGGAGCGAGGCAAAGTGAGGGCCATCCAACACGTGTTGAAGAGCGGGGCGGCTCCCGATGCCCTTGACCAGAGTGGCTACAGCCCACTGCACACGGCAGCCGCCAGGGGAAAGTGCCTGATCTGCAAGATGCTGCTCACGTACGGGGCCAGCCTCGAGCTGCCGACCCAGCAGGGCTGGACCCCCTACATCTCGCGGCCTACACGGGCCACTTGGAGGTCATCCACCTGCTGGCGGAGAGCCGTGCAGACTTGGGGGCTCCTGGAGGCATGAAGTGGACGCCCCTGCACCTCGCCACCTGCCATGGGGAGGAGGCTGTGGAGTTAGCACTGACCCCAGTACTGCCGAGCGGTCGGGCTGGACGCCCCTCCACCTGGCCATCCAGAGGGGCGCCTTCCTGGGTGTCGTCAATCTCCTGGAGCACCATGCAGACATCCATGCCCACAACAGGGTGGGCTGGACGCCCGCCCACCTGGCCGCCCTCAAGGGCAGCATGGCCATCCTCCAAGTGCTGATCAAAGCTGGTGCCCAGCTGGACATCCAGGAGGGGGTGGGCTGCACACCCCTGCAGCTGGCCCTCCGGAGCCAAAAGCAGAACATGATCGCCTTCCTAGAGGGCAAGGAGCCCTCCTCGCTGGCCCTGCTGGGGGATGCCGAGCCTGGAGCCCAGATGAAATGTAAGCAACCTGGGGCCTCCTTACCTGGCAGAAGTGACGCTGGGCTCCTGGCAGGGCCCCTTCCCTGTCCTTGCCCCCTGCCCCTTGGACCTTGAGAGGAAACTGAATGTGGTCCCCCCCTGGAGGGAAGGGGGAAGGGGCACTGAGGTGGTAGCTGGGGGGGGCGGAATGCTGCATCTTCCTCCTCCTGCACCTCGACTCAAGCCCCCAAAGTGAATTCCTTCTTCCTTCCCAAGACCCCTGCCACCTTCTGCCACTTGCCCCTGAGCCCACGGGGACCCTTGCATCCTGGGAGCCCTCTCTGAAGGCAGAGGAAGCTGCTCCCTCCCAGCTGGTCCCTGCATGACTTGGCCCTGATCACAAGCAAGGCAGGACAGCCAGGCACGCGCTTTTCAAAAGGGGCAGGAACTAAAAGTTGGGAGGCAATTTCTGCCTGCGGTGGGAAGCCCAGCCAGTCCCGCATTGCCACAGAGACCACACCTTCCTGGTGGCCCTGGCTCTGGTGCCTGGGTCTCCCACGCGGTCTGGGGGGCAGGGGGAGGAAGGGGGTGCTCCAGGTGCCCACGAGTGATTCTCCGTCCCTGGCCTCCCCTGCCACCCCTTCACTGTGTCTAGTTGTATGGCCAGATTTCAAACCCTGAAGTCAATAAAACGGTGAGTCTGAGCCTCCCCTTTGGAGATGGGCTGACCTGTGGGGTCAGTGGTGTTCCTGTGGGACGTGGTGTATGTGTGTGTGTGAGTTTATGCAGCAGGAGAAGGCAGGGGCAGATGTGAGGAGTGAGGGGGGCTGGTGATGCTGAGGGATGGATTATCCGGGCTCAGTGTGGAGCTCGCAGGACAAGGACTTCCCTCCCAGCCGCTGTAGCTCAGAGCGCTCTCCCCTGGGGCCACACACTGGCCACCCATCTGCCGGCCTGGCCCCATCCTACAGGTTGTGGGGCAGGTTGGGGCAGGGCTGGGGCTGCTCACACCAACCAGCTTCTGCTTCCTCCCTGGCTCTGCTGGGAATGGCCGACCTCCGGTCTGTGGGAGGTGGGGGTCCGAGCGGGGGCAGAATGGGTGCCCTAGAGTCCTATCCTGCTCTTCTCCCCCTCTGCTCTGCTGGAGCAGCCCCTCCGACTCTTTAACTGTCAGAGAAAAGGAACCTTCTGCCCCAACTACTGGCCAGCTCCCACCCCCAGCCACTTGGCAGGCTCACCTCTGCGTGTGGCCCTGCTGGGCTGGGAGCGGGTCCGAGAGGGTGAGGCAGAGCCGAGAGAACATCTTACCCCACCTACATGCTGGCAGTGTTGTGTCTCCCATCCTGTGGTCTCTGGGCTCCCGAGCCCTAGATGCTTCTCCCCGTCACACCACAGCCTGTGGCCACCACAGAGAGCCCTGGGGCAGCACTGAGCTGGGCTCTGCCCTAGCACAGTGGCTGTAAGTGAAGCCCACCCATCAGAACCTCCTGGGTGAGGTGTGCGGGGGCGGAAGGGCTTTTTAAACACCGCCCCTACCCTTGACCAGTAATACCAGAATCGCCCAGGTTGAGCTGGAGAGCAGCCAGGGCTGAGAACAACCACCAGGGGGTGTCCCGTAGTTTCTCCCTATGCCCTTCCTTAGCACCCCCAAAATGGAAGTCACTGTCCAGCAGCCCGGGGTGGCCGGCTTTTCCTCTCCTACGGGGACTCCTGAGGACCACCGCAGGTTTTCCATCCTCGTACTCCCTGCTAGCCCCCCAGTCCATTCTCCTTGTTCTTACTGAGACTGGCTCCCAGTCTAGGATTCTTCCACACGAGCCAGAGAGGAAGTGTGGGGCTACGAGTTCAAAGCCGAGTGAGCTCAGATCAATCCATGGGAACGGCCAGGAGTGAGGCACCGGGGCACAATAGTGTCTGGGGTCTCCTCTTGGAAAGAATCTGGGGAAAGACCTTGCAGAAAGGAGCTAGAAAAGATAAATGATGCTTTTGCACCTGTTGTCCTGTAAAGGGCAAGGATCCCACGGAATGGGGTCAGGGCTGTCCCTGGGAATCATTCCAACTCACCAACCTGATGATCCCAGGGTCCAGGTTGAGATGCCCAGACCCCTGCTTTCTCTACCCCCTTCCTCCAAGAGGTAACGGAGGTAATGGTTTCAGGCCCTCGCGTTGCCTACCAGCACCTTTTTCTCCCTTTCAAGCCGACCCGAGCCAGACACAGCGTCTACCCTGAGTCCCATCACATCACAGCCGCCTTCTAGAGATTTCTGAGGGATGTTCAAAATTGGATTTCAGTGAGGCCCTTGAAATTCCCAAGGAGAAGGTCACCAGTTGAATTTCAAACCCTGTTTCAGGGAGTTTGGAGTGGTCGAAGATAAGAACTCCCTAATTTCCTACTGGGCATCTCTACTTGGAGGTCCTATTTAAAGACCCCCTGAAACTCAAAGTGTCCCAAACTGACCATTCCCTCCCGCTCCGTGAGTCTGTTCATCACCCTCTCTCCCTCATTTTGGTTGAAGGCGCTTGAACTCCTCACCCGGTAGTCATTCTAGACCAGTGCTGTCCAACAGGGCGTCCTGGGAGGGTGGAAACCCGCTCTACCTGCAGCTGTTCCATAGGATGCCACTGGCCCCACGTGTTAACGCTTGACATGTGGCCAGTGCGGCCGAGGGACCAAATGTTTGCTTCAATTAGCTGAAGTAGCCGCATGCACCTGGTAGACCACACAGTCTCTAAGCTCTCTGAGCTCTCTGAGCTCGCTGTCCTGTCCCTCATCCCGTCAGTTACCAGGCGCAGCGGGTCCATCAGGAAGGGCTTTCCGGAAGACGCACGTGTGGAAGGAGGACAAGGACACAGCAGAGAGGGGGCAGTGCCTGGACCAGGTGGAGGGAGCCAGAGGCCGGGGAATGTGGACGAGCAAGCAGGCTGGGGTGCAGGCAGCCCAAGAGCAGATGGGGTGGGGAGACCCTGATGCCTGTCCTGGATCCGGAGCTTGGACCTTGGACTCAATGGAAGGGGCAGTGGGGAGCTACTGTCACTTTCTGAGCAGAGGGGGAATAAAGTCAGAATGAGCTGTGCACCCCAAAGACCCTTCGGCTGTGTGTAGGGTGAGAAAAGGGATACTCTGGTGGGGGAAGACTCTACTCTCACACGGCCGGGAGGACAGTGTTGTTGGGTCCGCTCAGGAAAATCCAGGTGTGTTGTCATAGCTTTGCGCACCCAAGTCCCCTGCCCCGAGCGGGACTGCCCCCTCCCCTGGCCTGACCCCCACCCTTCACCTCAGCTGCAGCATCTGGCTCCCACGCCCCGAGGCACGAGGGAGGCTGCCTCCCTCTCTCTGGCCTCTCGCACATCCCCAGGTCTCAGGAAGGAGCCAGGGGCCGAGGTGGGAGGAAGCCGCAAGCATGGACCTGGAGATGCTCTGTGCTCTCTGGCAGCTTCCTGCTCCCCCGGACTCCCCAGAAGCAGAGGCAGGGGCATCTGGCTGGCAGGAGGATGACCAGACTCTGCTCTGCAGCTACTAAAGTCCCTCTAAAAACTACTCCGCTCTCTGCACATCCCCCTCCCGACCCATTTGCTCTGCAGCCCAAACGGCTATCAGGCTATTCACAGGCACTCAAGGGACCTACAGGACTGGTCCCAAATGCTTTTCCTTTCTCTCTCTCCCCGCCTTGGTAAAAATCTTCTCACCACACCAGCCTCCTCCAGCTGTGCTCGGGGCTGATCAGGAAACGGGCAGAGTGGACAATGCAAGATGTAGATTTGGAACCCTGGGTTCAGAGGCCTGCCCGCCATCCAGGCAATCGGCCTCCCCGTGAGAGAGGTTTCCTCTCTAACAGGGGACCCTGTGGACGGATGCTGGGGTCACACGGAGGACAGGATCACGTGGGGTGAGGCATAGGATGGGAGCTAATGGCCACAGATGCAGCCTACGTCCTGGGGCCCAGGAGGCCAGTGAGGCGGTGGGACACAAGGCTGGGCCATGCAGTCCCTGGGATGGGGATGGCGTGGGAAGGGATCCCAGATAGGTGGACACACTGCTTCCCCAAGGCAGGCCAGTCCTCAGTGTCCCCGCTTGCAGATGACTGACCACCCCTGTTCTGAGACCCCCGGGGAAGTAGGACAGGCAGTCGCTTCCTTCGGGGGCCTCCTGCCTGGCCACTGAGGTGTCCTCTGTGCCATCAGCCTTCCTGCCCTCACCAGTTCCTGGCCAAGGCATGCCACGTCATTGTCGTCACCTACGTGGCTGGTGTCCCCACACCCGGCCAGGCTCTGCCGCAGGGAATGTGAGGCTCGTACAGCGGCTGTGTGATTGTTGGATTAACGCCTGTCACCCACCGGGCCGGGAGCTCTGCAAATACAGGGGTCAGGTCCACCCTGTCCCTGTTTCACTCCTAGCACTTTGCTCAGGGCCTGGAGCACAATGGTCGCTCAAGAAATAGCCACTGAGGACCCCAGGGGTGGATGGGTGGGGGAAATGCAGTGTCTCCTGCACCACTCGCCTGCCCGTGCCCAGGATGTCTCCCCAGCCGTGGCCCGCTGGGGCTCCTCCAGAAGCCACTAGAGGCCGAGTAAGGGCCTGAAGTTTGAAGACTTGCAGTCCAGGGGGACATCTGAGCGGACATATGCGAAGCGCCCAGCTGTGCCTGACGCGGTGCTAGGGGGTGGTGAAGGGCCGGGGCGGC